AAACTATTATAGATAATATAATCGTAAGAAATTCTCATTTACATTCCATACCAGCTGGTGGCGGTCATGCGCCAGATCGTCAACCAGCCGATAAAAACCCAGAAGAAGAAGAAGACCGAGAAGAAGAAGTAACACACTTCCGGTCTCAGGCTCCATCATCCACCACCAAAATGGCGAAGATCGCCAAAACGCACGAAGGTAAATCTCTTTCACGGATTAAACACGAACAGCGTCTGTTTGCAGAAGTTTTTGCTCGGGGGAAGAATCGCGAACTGTTTGTGTACATGTTGCAGTGTCGGATCCACGTGTTGGTGCGCGAACAGGTCGGGTTTTAACTCGATGATCTTCGGGCCGTGATGCGACACAACGCGGACCCGGAGATAATGGCGCTGGGTGCTAGCTTGTTAGCTTCTGTTAGCCTCCACCACCCCCACCCCCCCCATGCACCACTTACCGTGTTTATCACTCAGACTGAGGAAGATGTAACTTTAAACAGATGTCGATGTTCTCAAACACGTGTTCTCCTGCGCGCCCGTCTCTGGGTGATTCACATTTTATACGGTTTCGTGAATTTTAATTTCTGGCCCGGTTAGCCCAGATTAGCACCGCGGCTACATCACACGGGGCTAAAGCTAGCAACCGTTTCCCTCGTTACACAAACCTGAAACAGTTTGATGTCGTACTTTCGTTCGGTCGATGTGGATCACGACTTATTTGTATGAAATGTTTTTTTACAATCTAGATCTCCTCTGGTTGGGAAAAGCTTTTCTGTGATTTCAATCTGAAACCGTGTTTTGATTTGACTTTTCCTCAATTTTCAACAAAACAAGCAAATCGTCCCCCCCCCCCGCTTTAGCATAAATAATGATTTACGATGTAATGCTGTTGTGTAAAGCCAGCATTATTAATAACATATAATGTCAACATTATATTATGACTAAAAGTAGCAGCGAGTGGTTCTTCCTGTTGCCTGAATGCAAATACAGGTGAAGAAAACAAAACTAAGCTGAGCAAGGAGGCAGCCACGGTGTGTTTCAGAGGATCTAATGTGTTTTGACTGGATGCCCATTGAGGACCGTTTAGATTATGATAGAGACAATGGGAGGACTTCAGAGCACATGTGTCTGTTAAATGACAATTTCACAGCAAATGCCAAGACTTTTCCGCATTTGAAGTCAGTATTCATACAGGACTCTCGGTAGAATAGATGAACTTTATTGATCCCAGTGGGGAAATTGTTGCGTCACAGCAGCAGGTCGAAGACATTCACAAAGAGACAAGGTGCCAAATTGCAGTATTTGTTTGACATGACTAAAATAATAAATGTGCCTCAGTGATATTACACCAGTGAATCCAGGAGAAGGACTCTGATCAGCCAAGGAAACTGCTAATGGTTTCCCCCACACACCTGAACCCAATCAACCTCTTCCTCCGCCTGTTCAATAATCATGCCAAACCGTCCAAAATCTGTGGATAAGAAGCATTAAAGTGAGTCAAGTTCTCAGAAACAAACTTGAGGCCTTTCTTCATGGTGCAACACATGGCAAAGGTTACTAACATGGAAGGAGGCGCTAGCTGCGGTTGGAACTTATATCTGCTAAGAGGTGACCTCAGTTGGTCAGTGCGGCAATAGACTTGCGACTGCAATGAGGTGAATGCTTTTGTAATTTTATAGTTTCTCGCCCTCACTTGTTTTTGTCTCCATTTTCCTGTAGATATCGAGGCCCAGATCCTGGAGATCCAGGGGATGAAGGCTACACTGCTGGAGGAAGGAGAGCAGGGTGTCGGCCTCGTTTCCACTGGCTTTTTTGACCAGGAGATTTATGGAGGCAGCGACAGTCGCTTCGCTGGATATGTCACTTCCATCGCTGCAAATGAACAGGAGGATGTAAGTATTTCCTTACCCAGAGCATGGATACATTCCTTCGCTGCTCCCCCCTCAGGTAGTTTCAGGGTCTTCCTAAACTACACACCAGAGCTTAGTCTTATGACCCAAGTCAAGTTGCAAGAAGCCACTTAGGCAATTTTATATCCTTCAATATTTGTGTGTTACCAAGTCAGTGAGTCTCTAAGCAGCTGAGTACTGCTCATAATAATAATATAATAAAAAGTTGTATCAGTTCCACATTTTTTTTCTGGGGCTTGATTGCTCCCCTCTGCCTGTTGCATGTGAGCTAGGAGAGTCTTGCCATTTCGGTGAGATTTGACTAGACTCTTTTTCTCTTTCTTTCCTCAGGATGATGAAGATGACACATCAACAAGCTTGTTGGGACAGAAGAAGCCGGGGTACCATGCACCTGTGGCAATACTCAATGCCATTCCACAGTCAGATGAGCAAGTACGTGTTTGTTTGCTGTCTCTCAGATATTGATTTTTTTTTTGTACCCAGTTTTTAAGGCAACTTCAAAGAAAGTCATGTGAAATTAAAAATTTTGCTCTGTCTTTGTTTTGCAGTACGACCCCTTCGCGGAGCATCGTCCACAAAAGATCGCAGAGCGTGAGGACGAGTACAAAGCCCGGCGCAGACAGATGATCATCTCCCCGGAGCGTCTCGACCCTTTTGCAGACGGTAAATTTAGCTATTTTTTTGTTTTCATTAATCATTCCCTATGTCCTCCCCCTTTGAATGGTTGACTTTTTGTGACCCCCCCATGACTACCGATGGTTTTACACTCTAGTTTTGCTGTTCAACCCTTCGACCACAATGCAATAGCTTGCTTCCCAGACTCAATGCCTTCCCTGTGGTCAATCCTGTGTGGTCCAGGGAATTCTTTTTACCTTGTCTTCCTAATACATGATCTACATTTGCATTAACTTGCAACTCAGCAAGAAATGTCGGCGTGGTCTCATAGTTTGTCATCAGTATTTTTGTTTGGGAAAAATTGTTGTCATCATCCTTTTGTGCAAAATAAAAGTTTTACCCTGGTGTGTGCAGTAAAGTAAAGCAAAACTACTACTGTAGGGTTACCGTGCTTTTCAGTGGGAGAGGTGGTTAGGTGCTCAATGTTTTTAAACGGGCAATTTTCCTAACACACATGGGTTGCAGATGGGTTGTGTGTGAGTCGAAGGGTTAACAATCACATGTTAGCTTCAGCAATGGGAAGGTGTGCAGGATGAGGAAGTTTGAGGATTCGCTTTGGTGTAATTTACCTGCTAATGATATGCCGTGCTGAGCCCAGTATATTATGCCAAGTATTTTCCTGTTCTGTCATCGGCAGAGCTGTAGATCCCAAAGCCGACAGACAAGAGAAATATACTTTTGCGTAGCCGTTCCAGAATCAGTAGCGTAATAAAAACATGAATCTGATCTCATTTATCGTCCCAGTGTCTTTGTCTGGGCTATAACTTGCGTCACGTGCGGTAACAGGACACCATATCAAGATAGTTCTAGGTCGATAAGTATTATCAGCCTTTCTTCCAGATTTGGAATCATAATTTCAAGATGTAGTTAAATGTTAATCTACCATTTTTTTCATTAGATGCCAAATATGCCTTTAAATGGCAGCGCAAGAATATGCTATGTTATATTCAGTATTGTGTAAAACAAATAATTATAAGTCAGCCAATCTTTATTTCCATTATTATTGAATCTTTACTTCGGCTGACAGTGAGAGCTTAAATGGCCTGAATGGCTCAGGTTGGGTGTAGGTAGGGCTCATCTGAAGCCTGCATGTAGAGAGAGCTCTTTGTACAAAGTTGTTAATGTAAATATATTTTTATTTTACAACTCTCTCTGTAAAATAGAAATATGTTATCAAGAAAAATTGTGTACCACAATACCACAGGCCCATACTAACTGTCCTTAATTTCTCTCCTACAGCAGTACTGCTTTGCCAGTCCTGTACTGCACTCTGTTAAGGGTGCAGCAACTCATCCTGTGTAGGTTATGGGGAACACAGAGAGCTGTGAACTTGTCAGATTGGTCAGGGTCCACTGGCTGCTTGTTTGGGGCCTTTGAGGGGAATCAGATGCAGCACAGCCACGACAAACGTCTACACAGAGAGACTCTTTAGTTTTCAATTTGGCATCAACATCTAAAAAAACATGAAGCTAAAATATCCCATGCATTCACAATAGAAAATTGCTGCCCAAGTATTTAAAGGATTATCTCTGCCTTTTGATTTGATCAGCTACGTTTGTCCTGAAAAGGAAGTCCACATCTAAATGTGTGATGATTCAGTGCTGCTGTGAGACACTGACAACGGCCTGTTGTTATACGACAGCTGAGCTTGATTTATTATTGTTTTCTCATTTTAATGTGAATGCAAAAGTAGATACTTCTATTTTTGATTGTACTGTGGTAGTTTCATTCCATGGTGTAACCTCACTTTATTTTAGCTGCTAGTGTAAATTGGGAATCTGGACCACAGGGTCTCAAATGAAGTTTTTCTAGTTTTGAGGTTACGCCCCAAGAAGATGCTTTGCTTTTTTTTTTTTGAGTGCCATAAATCAATGCAACACAGGTGGTATTCTGTTGTGTGTGAGTTCAAACCCTTTTCCAAAGTGTTACTAATGGTAAAGAGAAATTTTCTAGGCTTCTTTTCTGCCGGTTGAAGTCTGACTGCAGAAGGACCCTTGGCACTGAAAGTGTACGTATTCTGAAGAGCACAGCCCAGGACCCCTGCATCAGTGATGGCTATAACTTCTTAATCCACTTAAAGAAACACCACAACCACAGCTCTTCTCTCTATGTATCTGCTTGTTTTCATTAGAATCCTATGACTGTATTTAAGAAAGCCAAATGTATATTTGTATGTAACTCAGTAGGACTTTGTTTTGTGAATCAACTGTTTAAAAAAACTGGAACATTAGTTAATATGTTGGTAAAGAGTCAGGGTTAGCTGGCTGTTTGTTCTTGCTGTGATTGTAATAACTTGGGTCCCTGGAGTGTGTACTGATGAGTTTCCTTTGTTCTTGTTGGTGCTCTCTCGCGCAGGGGGCAAAACACCGGATCCCAAGATGCAGGTCAGGTCGTACGTGGACGTCATGTTGGAGCAGAACCTGTCCAAAGAGGAGGTAACTGACCTGTCAATGTTTTTTTTTTTTTTTGTTTGTTTAACATACTGCAAACCTGTCCTGTGCTCTGTCTCATTTACCCTGACCTTTGTGCCTTTTTACAAACAGAGAGAGATTCGTCTGCAGCTGGCAGAGAAGGCCAAGTCAGGGGACCTGAAAGTTGTTAACGGGTCAGCTGCCGCCCAAGCAGCCACAAAACGCAAGCGTCGCTGGGACCAGACAGCTGACCAAACCCCCTCGAATGCTACACCCAAAAAGATGTCCAGCTGGGACCAGGCTGACACCGGTGCTGAGGTGAATCACAGGAATTTCAGCTGCTTGATTTAGTGTCTTACCTTCAGTGCCATACTGTGTAACTTGATGGAATCCAGTGATGAGACAGCTTTTATATTGTTCCACTCTGTTTCTAATCTCGTCTTTCTTTGTTTTCGTCCCCTGTAGACTCCAGGACACACCCCTGCACACACCCCCTCAAGCACCCGATGGGATGAAACCCCTGGCCGACCTAAAGGCAGCGAGACTCCAGGGGCCACTCCCAGCACCCGTATGTGGGACCCCACGCCCAGCCACACACCTGCCGGTGCTGCCACCCCTGGCAGGGATACCCCCGGCCACGCCACACCTGGCCACGGTGGAGCCACGGGTAGCGTTCGCAAGAACCGTTGGGACGAAACCCCAAAGACAGAAAGAGAGACCCCTGGTCATGGAAACGGTTGGGCTGTGACCCCACGAACAGACAGAGGAGACGAGTCTGTGGGCGAGACTCCAACCCCAGGGGCCAGTAAGAGGAAGTCCAGGTGGGATGAAACCCCTGCCAGTCAGATGGGATCCTCCACACCTCTTCTCACCCCTGGAAAGACTCCCATTGGAACACCAGCTATGAACATGGCCACCCCAACACCAGGTTTGAATGTTTACCTTCCTTGCATCCTGTTGTCTGTGTATTCGGCGAGAATCATAAATTACTCCCATGGATCCTCAAGCCCCTTTTGTTGTTTCACATGTTTTTGAGTCTGTGCCCTCTTCTGTTTTTTGTTCAGGTCACCTGATGAGCATGACTCCAGAGCAGCTGCAGGCGTGGAGGTGGGAGAGAGAAATCGATGAAAGAAACCGTCCTCTCACAGATGATGAGCTGGATGCCATGTTTCCAGAGGGATACAAGGTCCATGTCCATTTATTACATTTAAATAGAATAAGTTGATGCGATTTTAAATTTTGTCACAGCACTGACATATTATTTTGCTTTTCCACAGGTCTTGCCTCCACCAGCAGGTTACGTACCAATTCGTACTCCGGCCCGCAAGCTGTCAGCCACACCCACGCCTATTGGAGGCATGACAGGTTTCCACATGCAGGTGGAGGACCGCACCACAAAACAGATGAATGACCAGCCCTCAGGAAACCTCCCCTTCCTCAAACCTGATGACATCCAGTATTTTGACAAATTGCTGGTGAGCATCGACACACACACACACACACACACACACACACACACACACACACACACACACACACACATATATAAGACGACATAAACTCAACAGCTGAATTTTTGCCCTGTCTGAAGATTAACATGTCTGACTCTTTTGTGTTAGGTGGAGGTGGACGAGTCCACGCTGAGCCCCGAGGAGCAGAAGGAAAGGAAGATCATGAAGCTTCTGCTGAAAATTAAAAATGGAACACCACCCATGAGGAAGGTTGGTCACTTTCTGACTCAGATTAATTCTTACACCACCTTTTCAAAACATCCTTTAAATCCTAAATCTGTTATATTCTCCATGACTTTCTCCTGATCATTGTCTCTTGCATTTTAAATCTCCAACAGAGGCTTGTAACAGCATTAAGTTAAAAAACCCTTCTCTCTTTTCAGGCTGCTCTGCGTCAGATCACCGATAAGGCTCGTGAGTTTGGAGCGGGCCCGCTGTTCAACCAGATCCTGCCACTGCTCATGTCGCCCACGCTGGAGGACCAGGAGCGCCATCTGCTGGTTAAAGTCATTGACCGTATTCTCTACAAGCTGGATGACCTGGTCCGGCCGTATGTGCACAAGGTGAGCTCGGTGTCAAAGATGTGTGTTTTAGTTACGTGAAGTGTGTCTGAGAAACTAACTGTCTTCTTGTGTTCAGATCCTGGTGGTGATCGAGCCGCTGCTGATTGATGAAGATTACTACGCCAGAGTAGAAGGCAGAGAAATCATCTCTAACTTGGCAAAGGTAAGATTTGATTCATAGGTTCTGTGTGCTCTGGGTCCTGCGAACCATTCTCGCCTGTATGACCAGTTTGTGGTCAGGTCAGGGCTAGTCGTTCGCTAAATTGATTCCAACATGAGAATTAGCAGTCCGGACATTTGTTCCTCGTCTGTTCTCACCCTGCACCTGTTGGATACAAACACATCAGTGACAGACGTGTTATTTGTTGAGTCCCTAGATATGAATTAAAATCCAGATCTGCACCAAAATATAATGGATTCTTGGTTTGTCATGTCTCTGGCCTCACCTGAATCTATGTCTCAGAGTTTTCACGTGTGTCCTCCTGTCTGTCCCAGGCTGCTGGTTTGGCGACGATGATCTCCACGATGCGACCTGATATCGACAACATGGACGAGTACGTCAGAAACACCACGGCCAGAGCCTTCGCTGTGGTGGCCTCTGCTCTCGGTATTCCCTCTCTGCTGCCCTTCCTCAAAGCTGTGTGTAAAAGCAAGAAGTCCTGGCAGGCTCGACACACGGGCATCAAGATCGTGCAGCAGATCGCCATTCTTATGGGATGTGCTATCCTGCCCCACCTCCGCAGCTTGGTGGAGATTATTGAACACGGTCAGTCGAGTCTTTGTGGACCTCCTTGTCAAATGACATCTTTTATAAATACCAAGTTCAGTTAATTACAACTAGAAAAAGGTGAACATGTGTTTGAAACCTGCAGACACAGTTGATAACAATTCAACACACCATCACATGTGTATGATTAAATGTGCTCACTGGTGTTAACTGTGTCCACAGGTCTGGTGGATGAGCAGCAGAAGGTGAGGACCATCAGTGCTCTGGCCATAGCTGCTCTTGCTGAAGCTGCTACACCCTACGGTATCGAGTCATTCGACTCCGTCCTGAAGCCGCTCTGGAAGGGTATCAGACAGCACAGAGGAAAGGTGAGAAGTGAAAATACAATAAAATATAAAGGTATAAACTGTTTTCAGTGCAAGAACCACACCCATCACCTGCACATGGCGTCAGTGTGAATATTTACTTGCTGTAGTTGCCTTTAAGGGGCTGTTGTTGTCATTAGACATCAGATTAAAGACGACTAAACTCTGCTGGGAGCAACAGACATACATGGATTATTATCTACAGGCCGGTCAGTAAAATAAGTTTGTATTCACAATTGTTTTCTTCCTCTACGCCACCAGGGTCTGGCTGCTTTCCTCAAAGCTATTGGCTACCTGATCCCACTGATGGACGCAGAGTACGCAAACTACTACACCAGAGAGGTGATGTTGATCCTCATCAGAGAGTTCCAGTCCCCTGACGAAGAGATGAAAAAGATCGTACTCAAGGTAAAGTGGGAATATACATCTCAGTATGTGATGCTAAGTTCTCGTCCTGCGACTCATTCTCGCCTGTTCAGCCACCTCATGGTTGCATCAGGGCTAGTAGTTCGCTATAATAACGCCAACATGAGAATTAGCAGAGCTGACGTATATGTCGCCTCTGTTCTCACTCTGCACCCGTTGGTTACATTTGCAAACCCAGACTTATCTGACCTGTGGTCTAAAGCTGCATTTCATCAACCTCGAAAAATCTCCTCCCCCTCTGACCTCCGCTTGTGTTTTTGTCTGACAGGTGGTGAAGCAGTGTTGTGGCACTGATGGTGTGGAAGCCAACTACATCAAGACTGAGATCCTGCCTCCGTTTTTCAAGCACTTCTGGCAGCACAGGATGGCTCTCGACAGACGCAACTACAGACAGGTCAGCAAACACAGACGCTCACGTTCAGGCCCCGTTCACACCTGGTATCAACATCAGTATTTGACAGCTTTAAATACGTGAGCATTTACATACTAACGTTTTCTTTCTCTTCCAACAGTTGGTGGACACCACGGTGGAGCTGGCCAACAAAGTGGGAGCAGCAGAGATCATATCTCGCATCGTGGACGACCTGAAAGACGAGGCTGAGCAGTACAGAAAAATGGTGATGGAGACTATTGAGAAAATCATGGGCAACCTTGGCGCCGCTGACATCGACCACAAGCTGGAGGAGCAGCTGATCGACGGCATCCTGTATGCCTTCCAGGAGCAGACGACAGAGGTGAGAGAGAAGTCAAGATTTTCCAGAACAGGACCTTTATTTTGTCAGAATGTTTTTTTATTAATTTTCTTCTGATTCCTCCAGGACTCTGTGATGCTGAACGGCTTCGGCACTGTGGTGAACGCCCTTGGGAAGCGAGTGAAGCCCTACCTTCCTCAGATCTGCGGTACGGTGCTGTGGCGTCTGAACAACAAGTCAGCCAAAGTCCGTCAACAGGCCGCTGACTTGATCTCCCGTACGGCTGTGGTCATGAAGACCTGTCAGGAGGTACGCTGTGAGGTCTTAAACACACAGATTCAAAGATGCAGATGTGTAACTTAGAAACTGACCTTTTCATTTTCTGCCACTGCAGGAGAAGCTGATGGGTCACTTGGGTGTGGTGCTGTACGAGTACCTGGGAGAGGAGTACCCCGAGGTGTTGGGTAGCATCCTGGGAGCTCTGAAGGCCATTGTGAATGTTATTGGTACGTCACCGCACTGGTTTTCTCTGCAGGAAATTCAGATCTCAGAAAACAAAGGTGATTAGCTAATGAATTGTTTCCCTTTCTCCTCAGGTATGCACAAGATGACTCCGCCGATCAAAGACCTGCTCCCTCGTCTGACTCCCATCCTGAAGAACAGGCACGAGAAGGTGCAGGAGAACTGCATCGACCTGGTGGGCAGGATCGCTGACAGGTCAGTAGAATAAACTCATCTTCTGGAGCGGTGGTGGAACGTGCGGGCGAACTTCTCATGTGTTAAATTGTTTTATGTTGTAGGGGTGCTGAGTACGTGTCAGCCAGGGAGTGGATGAGGATCTGTTTTGAACTGCTGGAGCTGCTGAAGGCTCACAAGAAGGCCATCCGCAGAGCCACTGTCAACACGTTCGGTTATATCGCCAAAGCCATCGGGTGAGTCTGTCCACTCCTCATCAAGACCCACAGAAAGTGTGTGTTGTGTATTTATTCTCATTCTTCAGAGTTTCTCTGATCTTAACCCGATCTCTTAATCCCTCTCTCCTCTCAGTCCCCACGACGTCTTGGCGACTCTGCTCAATAACCTGAAGGTGCAGGAGCGTCAGAACAGAGTCTGCACGACTGTGGCCATTGCCATCGTCGCCGAGACCTGTTCGCCTTTCACGGTGCTGCCTGCGCTCATGAACGAATACCGTGTGCCCGAGCTCAACGTGCAGAACGGCGTGCTCAAGTCCCTCTCCTTCCTGTTTGAGTACATCGGAGAGATGGGCAAAGACTACATCTACGCCGTCACGCCACTGCTGGAGGACGCACTCATGGACAGGTGAGTTTCACCACATTAGTTTTATCTGTGTTCCTGATTAACTGTCAGCCGTTACTGTATCTGACCCTGTATCTCTGTCGTCCTGCAGAGACTTGGTCCACCGACAGACGGCGAGTGCTGTGGTCCAGCACATGTCTTTGGGCGTCTACGGGTTTGGCTGTGAAGATTCGCTCAACCACCTGCTCAATTACGTGTGGCCCAATGTGTTTGAGACGTCACCTCATGTGATCCAGGCCGTCATGGGCGCCCTGGAGGGGCTGAGGGTCGCCATCGGTCCCTGCCGCATGTTGCAGTACTGCTTACAGGTGAGGACGAGCTCTGTTCGTTTTATAAGCTTTTGTATCTGTAAAGTGGCGTCTGTTAGTTTGAAGGGAGCAAAAATAAATCCAGGTTGTTATTGGTACATTATCATGTATTAAATCTACAGTTTTCTTTTCTCCAGGGTTTGTTCCATCCAGCGAGGAAGGTGAGAGACGTCTACTGGAAGATCTACAACTCCATCTACATCGGCTCACAAGACGCCCTCATTGCCCACTACCCACAAGTCTACAACGACGAGAAAAACATTTTCGTCCGCTACGAGCTCGAGTATGTCTTGTAAATATGAAATTTTTGCGCTCTTTTTGATTTCTCCTCCCTCAACTATATCGCCCTCCACCGTCGTCTCTGTTTAAAATCAGAGTCGGTTTTTATTCAGCAGCTTTATGTTGGTCTTTCCCGAGGGGCTGAAATAGAAAATCCACGTCCTGAATGCCGTTTATTGATTCTGGAGAAACAAGAGTGAAAACTGGGAGTTTGGGGGAATTGAAGAGGGAACATTGTGGAGTCTGTATGTTTTGTTTTTTTATTTTCCCAGTAAGGAATGTTCAGGGTCAGATGATCCTTGGTTGAAGAACGCAGCACCGTCATGATGATGTTTTAAATACTTTTGATTGTTTTTTTGCTTTTTGTGTATCGCTAGTCTTCTGTATCAGCCGTACACACCCTGTCCAAGTTTCACACCTCCTCTGTTCTTAGGGTTGTTGCTTTATTTAATCAAAATAAAATGTTTGTGTATAAAAAATCAGTTGCTGTGTCGTATCACGTTTATTTACTCCCCCGACATTTACAGATGAATATGTGAGGAACTAACGATAATAACATGAAACGCATACGATACAGAAACCAAAGAAAATGGCACAAACAGAAACTCTGCATTAGTTTTGTTGACATTTAGATTTTATATCATTTTTCTGATTTTATTTTACACGAATGAATGAATGGAAACAATAGAAGGTAGAAACACATGTAAGGTTTAAAAACAGGTATAAATTAGTGATATGATTATTTAAAACATGCTACACTGTGAAATGTTCCAGTACAAGTAAACTACAACTACTTATGAAGGTGGCCACAAACTACAGTGTCTCTCACAGTGTTTCCAACAAACAAGGACCCGACAGTTAATTAAATTCAATTAAAACTACAACCACTTAAATATTCCTGATTGTTTTCATACGTATGAAAGAAAAGATCTCTGAGAAATCAGTGAAATTTTCAATATTCAAAAGTTCTTTCTCGGCCGATGTCACATCTGTCCACCAAGTTTAGTGGAAATCGGTTCAGAGGTTTTTGTGTAGTTGAGTTCTGCCGACACAACAAACCAGAGAACTCCAGGTTTGTCTTAAATGTGCGTCTCTACGTGTGCGGCTGCCATTTTGTTAACAATGTGGGAGAAATGTCGTCAGTTACAAAAATGTTCATTTTATTTCAACACATAAATAAATAGTAAAAGCAGATAAAGAGATTGTTTTGCAGTGGTCTCTTAATTATTTCAGTTTTATCATCGACAACATAATCAAGTGGCAGAAGCTGCCGTATGAGGCTGAATAGTTTTTGGGAGGACTGAGCTCCAGCAGAGTCAGACTGTCTACGTGTGAGTGAACTCCGTCATCCAGCCTCCAGACTCTGCTTCTCCTGCTTTTCAATATTTCATACTTGACGTGTATGAGCGTCGTGAAACACAGAAGAGATTTAATGACACACGACTGATGAAGGAATTTCACTTTCACTAAAAATAAAAGCAAATGAACGGCTCCCACACACGAGCATGAAGAAGAACCTCCCCCACTCTTCCTCCCCCTCCGCTCACACACACACACTCACATTGACCCAGATTTTCCAGGCAGATGCCACCAGGCCCTGGGCCGTGAACCACTGCTACTCATGTACAAATACATGTACATCTTTATGGACATGCACTTACACAGTTTGATGTACATGCACATACAAATATTCATTCATACGTTTAAAAAAAAAAGTTGAGAAATGCAGCCGTTTTGTTTTGTAACGTGTTTTCTAAAACGTTGTGTTGTGAGTTTTGAAGTGTTTTGTGAAGTCGTATTTTTGTGTTTCATAAAATGTTATTTTCTAGAAGAGGGAGGTTTTGTTTTTGTCATGAAATAATGTTGTTGTCTGAATGTTCTATCTGGAGTTTTGTGAGGTGAAGTTGTGTTTTCTCTTAATTTGCTCCTCAGGACTTGAACATGCAGCGATGACCCACATCAGTCTCTTCTCTTCACTTCCTCTTCTCTGTCT